TTGTGCTGGGGTCTCCCCTTTTTAAAACTGTCAGATCTCATGAGACTCATTCACTATTATGAGAACAGTGCAGGAGAGACCCACCCCCATAATTCAGTCACCTCCCACTGGGCCCCTCCCACAACATTGGGAATCATGGGAGTTTCACTTCCATATGAGACTTGAGTGGGGACACAGCCAAACCATATCGTTCCACCCCATGTTCCCTCCCAAATCTCATGTATTCACATTTCACAACCAATCATGCCTTCCCAACAGCTCCCCAAAGTCCAAACTCATTTCGTCATTAACTCGGAAGTCCACAGTACAACCTTTCATCTGAGACAAGGCAAGTCCCTTCCACTTATGAGCCTGTAAATTCAAAAGCAAGTTACAGGCGTTGGGTGAACATACCCATTCCAAGAGACAGACATTGGCCATAACAAAGAGGCCCCATGCAAGTCCAAAATCCAGCAGGGCAGTTAAATCATAAAGCTGAGCAATGATCACCTACAACTCCACTTCTCACATCCGGGACATGTTGATTCAACAGGTGGGTCCCGATGGTCTTGGGCAGCTCCACCCCTGTGGCTTTACAGGGTACGGCCTCCCTCCTGGCTGCTTTCACAGGCTGGTGTTGAGTGTCTGTGGCTTTTCCAGGCACACAGTGCAAGCTGTCAGTGGATCTACCATTCTGGGATCTGGAGGATGGCGGCCCTTTTCTCACAGCCCCACTAGACAGTGCCCCAGTAGAGACTCTGTGTGGGAGCTCTGGCCCTGTATTTCCCTTCCTCACTGCCCTAGCAGAGGTTCTCCACGAGTGCTCCACTGCTGCAGCAAACTTATGACTGGACATCCAGGTGTTTTCATATGTCTTCTGAAATCTAGGCAGAGGTTCTCAAACCCCAATTCTTAGCACTCTTTCCATAAGGGTTCACTTCTTTTGGCCTGTTCATTACTGGTATTTTTCAAAGGAATCTCACTTTGATCTTTCCTCTTTTGCTTTTTGTCTCCATGACAATGTTGAGAAGTTTTACCTCCAGCAACATAAGATGATCTAGTGACCTGACCCATTTGTGGCAAACAATATCTACAAATTCAGAAGCTCTTTGTTTTTCTTTCCACGAATTATAATTCTTTCTGTTCTGTGTATGAGCGTATCCTAGCAACCCTGTACACACCCACATAGAGGTCTACAAGCTTATGAATTATTCTTTGTAAATAAAAATTTATCTCAATTTCCCTCAATGTTCATAATTCTCCTGAGGGTGAGGAAGGTCCTTCTCGATCTGTTCAAACTAAATGCCCAGGGACCATCTGGTAGGTAAGGAGCTCACCTGGCTCTGGTGTGGGGTCTGTCTCTTTCCCTCTGTTGTCCCACAGGTAAGCCCAGTTGTTCAGGTCCTAATAAGAGAGCCCAGGTTTGTCCTGATTTCAAAACACATCAAACTTCTGAAGACTCTCCTGTTATCCACATCCAAGGAGATAGATTGTTTATTACATAATTCACCAAACTAATGTCAAATGCACAAGTTGCAATACAGCACATCCTAGAGTGTGTTCATGCAAATCAATGGAGGATAAAGTCTTTCAGAGACAGATGGACCTGAAATGATAAATATGTGGGTAAGGACTCTGGGCTTGATAAATATGTGGCTGTTTCACAAGTGTGACCTGTCAGGGAAGGACCAGAGTTTCTTGTGCTCTAGAGAAGAGGGGTCACAGAGTTCCTCTCTGGTTCCCAGGAAAGGGAATCGCACTAATCTTCATGATCTTCATGAGACTGTCCTCCAGGGCTGACCTGTTATAGAGTTTTTGTCTGAAGTTGTCACTGCAATCCAGAATCTATATATTTTTAATCAGAATTGTTTAGAGACCAGGCCACATCTTCAAGGTCACATACTGAGAAGAATGGACACATGTCCCACTACCTTCTCCTAAGATCTCAGGCAGAATCCCAAATACCAAAAGGTCACAGAAGGACAGCTCTCAGGTGCTTTTATAAATGACCCACTTCCAGGGACAGTGAGCTTCCCTCTAACCATGAAGGATGTTCTGAACTACAATAAACATTGGATGGATCCAGGATTGTTTGAAGTCACTGTCATTATTACATTCACCAGTTGTTTCAATGTGTCTGAAGTAGTAAATGACCATTTAAATGACCTGGATGTGTGGTTGGTTTTATATGAATCTTTAAGGGTAGAAGAGTTGACTCTATTCCAAAATCTGTCCCTGATCCATGATCACACTCATCTCCCAGATCGGCTCCTTCAGCACTTTTCCTACCTGGATGAAGAGGACTCTGGGTTTGGTGACGGGAGGCCCCAGGA